AATAAATAAATAAACTCTTCAAAAAAAGAAGACTACTGTGGCAGCATTAGAGATTGACTACAGTGAAAAACCAAAGGCGAGTCTACTACAATATATATAATCCTATCATATATGTATGAAAACAGAAAATTAAAGTAAAATGCTTATGTATACATTATATGGATGGATACCAAATGTCCATGTTTTGGCATTAATTTGGCCTCCTCTGATCTGGGCTATGCCTTTATGTATAAATGAAAGGGGGGACGGCACAAAGCATAGCCCACTGTCTGCAAAGAAACAAAATCATTTAGGGATTACACAACCTCAGTGTAAGCAGAGATTAAATCTCTAGGTCGTAGAACGAACAGTGCTTGGTTCAAAACAGCAACTAAGGAAAGGTGCAAAAGATATGAACAATGAACAAAACTGGCATTTCAACAGACTATTAAAACTGTGAAAGACAGACTTATGAAGATGATATAAAATATTGAGGTATTAACTGTAATAGTAGCAAAATCGGCTCTGTGCTTTAAAGACCACAAAGTTTGTCCTTCCATGCAACTACAGAGATTAAATAATTCTATTTATTTATCCTAATACTCTCCATGAAAGCACGTGAAATTTTCTGTAAGAATAACCCTTCTATTCCTCAGTAAGAATGAAAGTATCATACCCATTTTACTACAAGGAAACAAGATAGACATTTCTAGGAAAAGAAGTAGATTCTGAATGAATGGATTAACAGAAAGCCTGAGAACCATTTGCCTAAGATAAAAATTGATAAAAGTGGTAGCCAAAAAATGTAAGTAGACATATGGTGTTCTGTAATGGCATCATTTATATTATCAGACAGAATACTCAGAGAATCCAAAAGACTCAATGCTCAGAGAAGGGAAGTATCCATAACAGGTACTCAAATACTGTGCTAGAGAAATGCTGATAAAGGAGGGTTTGAAGGCAAACTGGGACAAAATTAAAGGAAAGTAAAAATTATCTCTGCCAAAGAACAAAAATTTGGTGAAAAAACTAAATGGAAAAGGAGCAGAAGGGAAGGAAGCTTAAAACTCATGTTTGGGGCACCTGGGTGGCTCAGTCATTAGGCGTCTGCCTTCGGCTCAGGTCATGATCCCAGGGTCCTGGGATCAAGCCTCACATCGGGCTCCCTGCTCAGCGGGAAGCCTGCTTCTCCCTCTCCCACTCCCCCTGCTTGTGTTCCCTCTCTCGCTGTCTCTCTCTCTTTCTCTGTCAATTAAATAAATAAAATCTTAAAAAAAAAACAACTTATGTTTATGTTTTATTTCTGTAAAAGTCTTGTACAAAATGCTTAATCTATTCTTTTTCATTAAGAAGGTGGTTTCATCTTTGTAACACAGTGAACTGAAAAGGGCACTCACTGAAAGGTGCTCAGCCTGATTTCCAGAAAGGATTCAAAGTTAATCAATTAATGACTAAAGAGCAAATACAATGACGTTAGAAATGTTCTACAAACACTAATATCTGAGAAGACCAGAATTTGCATGGCAAGGGTCTAGGGACTGTAACAAGGGACAGATAGGAAAAAGAGAATTAAAGGCACTGACATTAAACTTTTAAAAACCAATTCTCGGGTGCCCGGGTGGCTCAGATGGTTAAGCGTCTGCCTTTGGCTCAGGTCATGGTCCCAGGGTCCTGGGATCGAGTACCGCATTGGGCTCCTGCTCCTTGGGAGCCTGCTTCTCCCCCTGCCTCTCTCTCTCTCTCTCTCTGTCTCTCATGAATAAATAAATAAAAATCTTTTAAAAAATAAATAAATAAATAAAAACCAATTCTCTAACTATAATATCATTTTGAAAGCATCTTCCAAAATCCCATTACCTGAGACTTCAAAACAGACTAGATGACCAGATCCTTGTTGAGAGGACAAATTAAAGCCTACTACATCATTTCCTTCTTTAGTAGCTCTAATTTGGGAGAAGCAAAAGAAAATGAATAAATGACAAATACCACAACCTGTCTTAGTCTCACATTACAACTCAATTCACTCTAACCAATAAATTTTATTTTGCTGTACTTTACTTCCCTACAAGACCAATAGGCCCATTTATTGTCTTGTTTTTCAATTAAATTAGTTCCACTGAATTCTTACTTTTAACAATTTGACACACTGGGTTTCACACTGAAATATTTGTACTTTCTAAGTCAAAATGGAATCTTTACAACCCACCTACCCTTTTCTGGATATGTTTTGGGATGACTCCAGCATCTTAAAATGGCTAAGATCTCCACATTTATAGCATGTTATAATTTTTACTGCAATAAAAATTATTATAGAGACACCTGGTTATAAGCCTGGGTGGCTCAGCCGTTGGGCTTCTGCCTTCGGCTCAGGTCGTGATCCTGGGGTCCTGGGATCAAGCCCCGCATCGGGCTCCCTGCTCTGCAGGAAGCCTGCTTCTCCCTCTCCCACTCGCCCCTGCTTGTGTTCCCTCTCTCGGTCAAATAAATAAAATCTTTTTAAAAGAATTTAAAAATAAAAAAAAATTATTGGGGCGCCTGAGTGGCTCAGTCATTAAGCATCTGCCTTCGGCTCAGGTCATGATCCCAGGGTCCTGGGATCGAGCCCCG